TAGGGGTCCAAGAATATAACCCCTGCCTAACTCTATCTACCTCTCACTCAGCTGCCTTCAGAAGTGAAATAAGTAGGCTCAGAGAGAGAAATCCCAAACTGTGCCACTGATGTGTGGAATCTGAAAAAAATAAAACTCAGGATGCAGAGAGGATAATGGAGGTTTGGGCTGTGGGTTGGGTTGGATGGGGAGCAGGGAGATGTTGACCAAAGGCTACACAGTTTCAATTGAACAGGAAGAAAAAGTTTGAGATCCATTGTGTACCACACAGTTTGTGATAAATTACAATGTATTGTATATTTCAAAATTACTAAAAGAGTAAGCTTGCAGGTGTTCTCACCAAAAGAAATAAATATATAGATGGATATGTGAATTGCCTTGATCCAATCATGCTACTTGTATATTTATAACACAATTTTGTTATTTTCATTATTTTTTTTGGGGCCATTTCTCCCCCATGCCCCTCACCCCCACCCTCTCCCTCCCACCCTCCTTGCTTCCAGGCAGAACCTGTTCTGCTCTTTTGCCCAATTTTGTTGAAGAGAAGACATAGGCAATAATAAGAAAGACAGTGTTTTTTTCTACTTTGAGATAAGGATAGCTTCTACAGATTCCTAGCATTGCTTCCATGTACATGTGTATTGCAACCCATATTGGTTCATCTCTACCAGACCTCTTCACTACTTCCTGGTCACCTTCCCATATTGACCTCCATGGTTTTAAGCTTACTGTATTAGCTCCTCTACAGTGAGCACATCAAACACTTTCAAGTTTTGGGTTTCCTGCCTTTCCCTAATCCTCCTGAATGTGTCCTCCCCTTAGCATGTGACCCATGTTCAATAATATTACTGTGTTTGTTTTAGGTCTAAAGTCTGTATTTGAGGGAAAGCATACGATTTTTGGGTTTCTGAGCCTGGCTAACTTCGCTTAACATGATGTTCTCCAGGTCTATCCATTTATTTGCAAATGATAAGATTTCATTCTTCTTAATGGTTGAGTAAAATTCCAATATATAACACAATTTTGTACTCCATAAATATATACAATTATTTGTCATTAAACATGAAAGAGAAAAATAAATAAAAATGTTTCAAAAATAAAATTTTTAAGTTAAATGACATAAAACACACACATACAAAGTCCACCCTCACACACTGCTTGTGTTGAGTTCTGTGGCTGCCCAGTCCCCATGAGCCCCAGTTCAATGGCTGTGGCCTGGGATGCTGTGGACTGTGGTCTGTTGTAGGAGTGACCCACTCATTTCTCAATTCTCTTCTTCAAAGGATGACAGGATCTTCTAACTACAGAAATGAAACATAGGATGGAAGGAATAGAGGAAGCAGGACTGACTTGACACAAATATGGAATAAATGTCTGAATGTTCAGAAAGCAAAGAAGTACTAGCCATCAAATGGGCAGATACATTTATCACTCCACTGCATGTCCTTTGTGAGCCTGAGGACTCCATGCTGGGTCTGAGCTACAGCTCCACGGTTCTCAGAGTCACATGGACAGCATCCCTCCTCCAGAGGCACATATGTTTCTCATCCTCTGTGTGAGGACTTTATCTAACATGATTTGAAACCATGAGAAGAGCTCCCAAATTCGGGATAACTTCTGAGTGGATTTAGTGTTGATCAATTGGGGAAAATGCCAAGACATGGGGGGAATCCCCAAAGTACCAGAAGGTGCTATATTTTCCATAGTGAATCAACTCTGCCCTCAGTTGGGTCTTTACAAACATGTACTAGATTCTGGTTTCTCTGCTGCATATACAATCTGTCATCCCATTCCTCATACTATCAATTGAACACAACTGAAAAGATGTCTGTTGGCTCCACTAAACTGTCCATGGGAGCTCCCGAAACTGTGAATGACATAATTCTGACAGCGGGGACTTTGTGGATGTGGCTAAGTAAGGTCCTTGAGTTGGAGAGAGACCATCTTGAATTATCAAGCTGGGCTCTAAATGTCATCACAGGGAGTCCTTAAAGTGGAAGATGGAGACAGAAGGTGAGGGTTCAAGAGGCATTTGGTGATGAAACAAGGTCCAGAGCCATTAGCCATGGACCTCAGTGGCCTCTGGAAGCTGAAAAAGACCAGGACACAGATCATCCTCCCAAGCCTCCAGAAAGGAGTAAGTTCCTGACCACCTCAAAGTTAGACTAGGGGAATCTGTCAGGATTCTCCCTCCACAGTTATGAGATAATAAATCTCTGCTGTATTGTGGTAATTTCTTTCAGCAACAAATCAGAATCTATAAAAAGAGAATACAATGTTTGAAATTATTATATAGATTTCCCACTTGTTTTAACAAAGCAGATAATATAAGGCTATGTGTATGTGTCCTTGCTTTTGCATATCATTTTCATTCTAAAAACTAGAAACCAATAAAGAAAGTTACCTCCAGTATGAGGGGCATAGGGTGATGTGGGAAGTCTCTGAGTGAGTCATTTTGTGTAGCTGTGACTTTGTGAACCAGAAATGATATTTGTATTCCAAGACACTTAATGAAGTTGTAAAAGGTGAAAAAACACACCCAAAGACAACTAAAACAAATATAATATACTAAGTTTACTTCTGTTGAAGAACACAACCACAACAAATTGAGCAAAACACAGCAAATACATCAATTTATGAAGACCTGGGGTTTCAACCATGAGACACAGCATATCATAAAAAGGTGAAAGTTGTGTAATATCACATCAGGATTGGAACCATCTGTGTGAATTCATACTTTGCATTACCCCTAAAGATTAAGGAGTCTATGAGGAACACAATCCCAGTCACCATTAGTGCAGAGACCTCACCTTGTTCTCTATACATTGTTCACCTAAAGGAAGCAAAGGACTCATAGGAGGGACACAGGTGGACTTTATTTTAACCTGGAATACAAGGCAGTGCTCAAACAGGTATGGTACATTCTGCAAAGATGGATGGAATCAGAGGAGACTTCACCTCCTCACCCCTGCTTCAGAACATGTGGGAAGTGGAAAACCATCTTCCATTCTTCTCCAGGATACATTGGCCTCCAGGCACTACATGCACCCCACCAACCAGTTGCTGGCCTGAAAGACACACCCAGTCCTCCTCAGGCTTAAACCAGCTGCTGGAGCCAAATTCCCTCAGGACAGGAGTCTAAACACAGATGATCGGTTGGACAACACCAGTGCTTCTCCCAGGTGTATATTCAGAACAATCGGAGTGCCCAGATCCACAGAGCACCCAGTCCACCGTGGGCTCCCAGTATCCTTGTTTGCCAGTACAAGCCACAGTTAACTTGGGTGTGTCCTTCCTGGGGTCCTGGAGTCTAAGGTCTCTGATTACTCTTCTCTGGTCTCCATGAGCTGTGCCAAGCTTCCCCAAGAATCGCCACCAGGATCAACAAGACCACCCTGCCAGACCCATGTGGACACCACTCAACACCATGTAGTTCTGGAAGGTGGAAGCTGGAAGGGAAGGACACTGTGGAGGGATCACTACATGTGAAAAAGACCAAGCCTGGGACACCTGATGTAGAGGCAATACCCCATTCCTGGATGGAACCTTTCCCTGGGTGCTTCCCCATGGCACAGTTCCCAGGTGAGCTCCTATGAGGAGCTCACTTCTGCAAGTGAGTAGCTTGTCTCAACCAGGGGCTCCCAGGAGTCAGAAAGGGCTGGTTAAGGCCTAGGCAGCCTTTCCTTCCCTTTTGGGCTATTCTTGACATCCTGAGGACTTTGGTTGACTGGACTTTATTTGGAAGGCCTGGCTACCTCCCATGGGGCAATTGGTCCCTATCCCAGCACTCTGAGAGACCTGAGTTCAAACCCCAGGTCTCACATAATGAACAAGAGGCCTGAGATGGTTGAAGCTGCAAGATCCACACCTGCCTTGGATCAAATACTGCTGCAAAACTAAAGGCAAGAGTCACCCCATCCTGGCTCTCAAATACCCAGAACTCAGTTGGGAACAAAGACTCCTACCACCTTGTCAGGATATAAGGAAATTTCTGTTCCTAGTGGTGACAACCACACCGACTGTGAGAACCAGGTAGGAAGGACAGAGGCAGGACACCAGCATGTCCACTGCACCTCATGTGCTACAAGCCTGTAGAATTTGACCTAGATACCAAGAGGAGCTGGGAATTCTGGGTTTCAGGGTGTCTCAGCTCTGCCCATACAGCCCTTTGTCTCCTTCCAGATTCACTTTTGGTCTCTCCCCATTCTTCCTCTCATGGCTTCAAATATCTGCATCTGAGATTCTAGGAAAGCATCAGGGATGGATGAAGTTGGGAAGACCTTGCATTTCCATCCTGAGATGGGAAGGATGAATTCTATACACCCTTCACACAGTGGCCCTCCATTCCAAACTCCAGGGGTCTCCTGGGACCATGTGCTGAGCCTATGGGCTGGATGGGCACCATGTGGACAGTGCATCCCATAATGGTGACTTTCAGAGCTCCAGGCTCTGTGAGTCTGCTGAGTCCTCAGGGCACAGGATTATTAGACATCCCCTCCCTCTGAGGGGTCAGAGCATGAGTCTCACAGACACTTATGAAACCATGACAGAATCAAGCCACCTACAGGCATGGGGACAAGGAGAGCAGGACATGGAGGGTCCAGACAGGCTTTCCTTTTTTTCCAAGAAGAGGTTCAGTTCAAATACTAGAGGGAGTATGTAAGATTGGAACCAAGCAAGACAGCTGAACATAGGTCTAGGCAGAGGAGCCATCAAACCTAATTCATTCTATGAGGTCATCATATTCTTAATACAAAACTCAGACACACATTATGAGAATACATAGGTATAGATGCAAAATCCTCAACAAAGTACATACACAGACTGTAAGCATGACATCACAGGATGTTAAGTTATAGAATGCCTGCCTAGCAAAGATGAAGCTCTGAGTTCAAATCCCACTACCAAAGAAAGAAAGATAGTAGATAGATTGATAGATAGATAGACAGACAGACAGACAGATGGATGGAGAGAGGAAGGGAGAGAGGGAGTGATGGATGGATGGATGGATGGATGGATAGCAAGTGGACAGAAAGACAGACAGATAGAAAGATAGAAATAGGTATACAAACACATCAAGACATTCCAGTCATATTCCAGGGCACCAAGGAATCTGGACAAGGCAAATCTGGTATCAGTGCCACAATGGAGAGTCTAGGTCTTTCTAGGGCCCAGGAGAGAATCCTGCTGGATGCCTTTTGGACATCTCCTTTGGGAAGACAAGCCACAGCTAATGGGATGGTTCCTGCCAAACAACTGCCTCTTCCTAGCATTCTATGCAGGTCTCTATATCTCACACTCTAGGTCTCTGTCTCAGGGTCTTTGAGTTCCCTCCAGCCACCTGGGAGTCCCTGGGAGCAGGGCTAAATACAAAGTACTTGGAACCTTAAAAACCTGTTGTGTCAAAGATGGAGCTTCCTCACCTAAATTTTGAAGCTCCATGGGGTCACTGGGTATTGACCACACCTGGGGGGTCCTGCTGTAATAGCCATAGCATCTAAATGTCCATCTGTGACCAGGGGTCATAGGGCCCATAGAGAACAAGGCCTGGTACTGCCCACTGGGGTGTTGCTGTGAGTTCAGGGTCCAGGAGAGATTGGGTTCTCTTTCATTAATCAGAACGAACCTACCATATCCCTGGCATGAGCCACACTGGAGGGTCACAGACCCTCCTGAGTCTACTACAGGGCTGGTCAGGGATGAGAGGCTGGGTTTCCTGTAGAATCCTAAGACTGAAGGAGGCAGTGAATTAAATGGGCTCACATTTCCCACAGGAGGGCACGGTTATGAAAGGGGACACCCCAGAAAGTCATCCCTCTTCCTGAGCCTAGGGTTAATACCAATGCATGCCCCCTCACCTGTCACCACCAGCTCCAGGGGCTCACTGTGTTCTGAAGACATATTAAGGTTGAAATAGTGACAGCGATATTGCCCCTCATGGTGCTCTGTCATGAATGGGATGGCTTCGTTCCCTGACTCCACTGAGGTCTTTGTGTCCCAGGGCTCTTGGCTTCCTTCTTTATATAGATGGTACTCTTGGGTTTCCAGTGTCCCCTGACACCAAATGCTCACAAGCCACCCCCTAGTGATTAGAGAGCTTGGCTCAGCCCAAAGGGTGGGTTTGGGGAGAATCCCTGAAAGGAAAGCAAATGCTAGGTCTCAGGTCATACCCCTGTCAGATCCCTGCTCTGAGCCCCAGGACCCTCCAGGCACCCCCCAGCATCACTCCCCATCTACTATTTTCCGTCCCCACTACCCAAAGGTAGCTTCATGTCCTGTTGATGAGAAGGAATATCTGGAGACACACTCATCTGTCTGCATTCAAGTCCTGGAGTTCAGATTCAGCCCTGGAAGAGAGTTCCCTGTGAGAGGTTTTCTCCTAAAGCCTGAGCAGGCCCTCTCCTCCCCAAAGCCTCCTGAGTCACTGGGGTCTCCTGATGGACCAGGGCCTGTCTGTGGGGTGGGATCCCTCCCAGAATAGGGTGTCTCCTCCTCCATGGTCTCATTTTACCAATGTAGAGCAGAGCCATAACAGCAGGGGTCATGATGATGCTTCCCATTGATCACCACTGGCAGAGAGTAAGACCACAGTGCATTGTAGGACAGAAGGAAACACAGGGTGTGGCCATGGAGATCTGAGTTCTTCCCATTAAGCAATTGCAACATCTGCAGCACCACATGAAGGGGAACTGCCCTGTTAGGAACTTAGCTCTTATCTTCCCCAGCCTAGGACAGACCCCAGCCTTTCAGGAGACACTTCAGGCAGAACCAGTATCTTCCTTGACATTGGCCTCTGTTTTCTAAATGCTTCATGGAAGATGTAAGTTCATGCAACATGGCAGATGTATGGCAGTGAGGACACAATGAACTCCTGGCTTTGCTGTGTCTCATATGGAGTCTTTATGTGCTAGGTGAAGTATTTTCCACCCAGATGCTCACAACTTCCCCTCTCTGACTTCCTCATTTCTATAAGAGGCAGTGCCTTCTCATCACCCTTCTCCATCAAAAAGAGCCATCACATCTCCTTCCTCACTCACCCTTCTGTCCTGAACACAACTGCTCATCTGATGCTGTGGATTCTGTCTCCATGTTCCAGGTACTAATGCTCACTAGAGGAAGTACACTGGCTCCCACCTAAGATATAAGGGAAACCTTGACCTATGGACAGTCTTGAGCAGGTAACAGCCTCTCTCCCACCTTCCTCAAGTTAAGAAGATGGTAATAATGTGTCCTCTTGAGGTTAGGTGAAATTATCCAATCTAGAGACCAGCCAGGAGCTCAGTTTAAAATGATTCCCATCTCCAGGCTAAGACATAGAAGAGCCCTTACAGTAGGAATTGTTCATTGACACCCCAGATCTGCTATCCTAGCTGCAAAGGAAAATAAGAAGCCATAGTGCACCTGGAAGGAATTACAAATGGCCACAAGGATGTACAGGATATAGGAACACGGGTGCACGACTTCAATTCTATATACAGCCAAATTGCCACCTAAAGCTGAAAGTAGAAAGTTCACCGCTGGGACAATGCCTGGACACTCTGACACTTAGAGCTTCTTCTGAGCTGTGGGAATCTTATTTCACTTATAACTCCACTGGGACATGGGCTTCTCCTTATGGTGTAAGGAATTTATAGGGAATCTTTTTTTTTCGTTTTTCTTATTGAGCAGTAACAGAACATAACATAAAACTAACCATGAAACACTTTACAGTACACGATTCAATGACATTGAGGGCATTCTTAATGTCACACAGCAACATTTTAATCACTCAGAAGAGAACCCCATGTCCATTAAACCATCACTGCCTCACCACTTTCCTCGTGTCTGCATTGAACTATTCTGGTGTGTCATATGGATGGAATCACAGTGTGTGACATTTTGAGTCTGGCTCTCACTGAGCCCTTCTCAAAGTCCATCCATATGATGTATCACTACTTCAGTTTGCTCTGAGTAATATTGCATTCTATACAATATCTCATTTCCTTGCCACAAATCAATGATTCGCCCTCTTATGAGATCCAGAATCCAATTCTTAAAATATTGGCTAGTGAACAGATGGGCTTATGGTTTATCAAATGTGAAACACTTTGGCTATTGTCTTTAAATATTTATTATTGTTGTTTTCTTTCCAATACGAATCTCATTTATATGTATATTATATTGCTGATTCCGTGTATGATATGTTCCTCAGCCTAGGATAATATCCTGAGATGCAGCTGCTGGCCAGAACTCTGATGAACACTGGGGGACCCTCTGAAGGTCTCCAGCTGCCTTCTGTGCAATTATCTTCTCTCCAGGACTCTCTCCTGAGGACTCTTACTGTCATGGCCCTCCTGGAGTCTCTACCCCAACTCATCAACTCAGACAAGTTCAAGATCTCAGTTCTCATCCCAGAGATGCAGGCTAGAAATTCTCTCAAGGCAGTAATAGGGGACTATCTTAAGATTTACTTCATTTGGTTTCTATTTCTCAGGGATCACTGCTTTTATCACCTTAGGTCATGTGGCCTCAGGCAATAATAGATCTAAGATTTGGGTTGCTGCAGAAGACCCAGAGTCCAGGCTTCCCCCAGCCTGCCTGGTTCTGGGCCATCACTCATTCACCCATTTTCTAAGACAAACCCTGTACAAGTTGTCTGAGGCTAACCCAGTGGACCATGTTCTGGGCATTCCCAGTGCTAGACCAGCCAGGCATTCTTAGGCCTAAAGCTCACTTTTGCTCTAATTGGCCCTGTAAACCCATATTTCATTCCATCCTCATAGACCTGGGCTCAGATCCACCTCAAAATATCCAGTCAGCATCCCTACCCTAGTGGACCCTGGCACCGGGCTCTCCCATGACCTGATGCCAGGTCCTCCCATCTGCTGCCCCAGGCAAGACTGTCCTCTGAACTCCACCAGCAAGTCAATATGTAGGCCCCAGCACATATGGTAACCTGCAGTCTCTAGATGGGGTGCTGGTAAGGGAACTTCCTTGCCAAGGCCTGTCTATAAAAACTGGAATGGAAACCTATTTCTTCAAATGCACAGACACCAATGCAAGGTTGTGAGGATCATGAATGGTCAGGGAAACATCATGGCACCCATGGAACTAAACAATGTCCTGATAAGCAACTCTAAGGAAGTGGGTATCTCCAATCAGTGAGGGAAGGGCTTGGTAGGGGTGGGGGTAGTTGGTGGAGGTATATAACCAATGTACAATGCAAGTCTACTTAGAATTGTCACAATTAATCTCCCCTATATAATGAATATATACTAATAAAAATGGAAAAAGAATATATCCTAATGGAAAAAGATAAAGAGATTACCAAGACATAGTAAAATCAAATTCTCAAAGATCAATGACAATGCAAGAATTTCTTCTGTTTTCTAGTCAGTTTTTTGTAGTACTGGGGTTTGAACTCAGGGTCTTCACCTTGAGCCACTCCACCAGCCTCTTTGGGGTTAGGTATTTTTGAGATTGGGTCTTGAGAACTATTTGCCCAGGCTGGCTTTGATTGCCTCCTGAGTAGCTAGGATTACAGGTGGGAAACACCAGCACCTGGACTCTAGTCACTTTTTAATTGTAAAAAATAGTAGGTTTCATTATCACATTTTCATATATGTGTACAGCATACTTCCATCATATTCATTCCCCATCATCCTCTCTTGTCCTTCTTCCTACCCTCTGGCTCTACAGATAGTCGTCCCTTTATGATCATGCCTTTTCTTTTTTTGTATTTTTAGATCTAGATTCTGCATATGAGAGAAAATCAAGAAATTGAAAACAGCAAGAGAAGAGCATTTCATCACATACAGTGGTACCCTGATGAGGCTATAAGCAGATTTGCCAACAGAAATGTTGCAGGTCATGGAAGACTAGAATAACAACTCAAAGAGCTGAAGGAAAAAAAAATTCCAGATGAGAATATCATAACCATAGTGGTTGTCTCTCAGTAAAAAGAAGAGATAAATACTTTCCTGGACCAATAGGAGCTGTGAGAACTCATCACCACAATTTGAGAAATACAGAATGATCTTACACTACCATGGTTATGCATCAATCCCCTTCAACTTTATAATTAAGTACAAATGAAAAAGTATTAACAAAACTATAACTATAATTGTGTGTTAAGAGATGCAAGTTATTTGAAACAAGTGAAGTATGACTTAATAATATAAAATGTGGGGGAAAAAAGAAATAACAATTATTGTAGATAACAGAAGTTGGGCTTCTATCAGTTTAAAATAAAGTTACAACTGCAAGAAGTTTTCTGGAAGTCTCAAGGTTGCCACAATGCAAAAATCCTGTTGTAAATATAAAAAAATAAAAGAATAGGTGCATAATAAAAAAAATCATATCACAAACAAGACAGCGAAAGTGGAAGAATGGAATGAAGGAACGATTAAAGAGTCAGAAAACAATGAACGAGATCAGCATAATAAGTTCTTAACCTAGCAAGAATTGCATTAAATGTAAATGAATTAAATTCTCCAATCAAAAAAGCAGAGAAAAGCTGAATGGATTTAAAAATAAGATCCTTTGCCTACAAGAGATACACATTGACTCTAAGGATTCATGTTGACCACCATAGACAGAAAATGAAGGCATGCAAAAAGATTCTTTGTTCAAATGGAAACCAAAATTGAGCAAGATATCTGTACTTACATCAGACAAAATAGACTTGAAGTACAAAAAAAAAAAACTATGGCAGGAGAGCAAGGACACCATATAATAATAAAGGGATTAATTTACCATGGAGGAGGAACAATTCAGAACCTGTATGGCTAAGACTGGTGACAGATTTCCATTTCTTGGAGGGTATGGAGGCCAAGTTCCTGATTCCCAGCTGGAAATCCAAATGTTGATTGTTGGGGGTGGAGGAGTCCACCATGGAGGTCCGCTGCTCAGGTGAGAGATGGAAGCCCCTAAATGCTGACATCAACATAGGAGTAGGAGAGAAGCTTGAGGAAATGGACCAGGCTGGGCCATGGGAGCCCATAAGGACACAGAAGGAGGAGGAATTGAATAAAGAGGGTTATAGAGAATGAAAGAGGGGTAGAGATGACATCTGACACACCAAAGAGAAGGTGTCCAGAGACAGCAGAGTTCTGCTTCTCAGATAATACAGTCCACTGTGGTCTCTGGGTCTCCTGGACTCCAGAGTGAGCATCTGAGCACTTGAGGTGTTGTTCCTGGGGCTCTGGGATCTAAGATCTCTGATTCTCTTGTCTCCTTGCCCTGTGCTTGCTGTCCCAAGCTTCTCCCAGAATCACCACCAGGGTCAGCAAGACCACCCCTGCCAGGACCATGTGGACATTGTTGAACACTGTGTAGTTCTGGAAGGTGGAGGCTGGAAACAGAAAGATAGGGAACAGTGTGGGGTGGGGGTGGAATGGGACTATCAGGTATACAAGACCCAGCCCAGGACTCCTAAAAGGGGAGCCACTTTCTCAGTATCCTGCCTGGAACCTCTCCACTGGGGCACTTCCCCATGGTACAATTCCCCAGAGACTTACCTATAGGAGCCCACATCTGTTGTTTGGAAGCTGATTTTACTAGAGGTTCCCAGGAGTCAGAAAGAACTTGTTAAAGGCTGGGTAGACTCTCTTCTCCTTCTGGGCTTCCTTGCCATCCTGAGCCCTCCCCTAACAATCCATTCAGAATCCTCTGGCCCTGCCTCCCCTGGTGCCATTTGCCCCACAGCAAGCATCCTGAGTTCACCTCCCAGATCTCAAACAGTGAACAAGAATGCCCCAGAAACAGGAGAAGCGGGATAATCCACACCTGTCTTGGATCAAACTCAGCTTCCATATTGAAGGGAAGGGTCACCCCATCCTGGATCTCAGTGCCTCAGGAATAAACTGGAGACAAAAGAGTTCTTCTGCTTATGAAGTTGAAATGACATCTTAGTGCCTGGTGGTGAATACCACACCCACTGTGAGAACCATACAGGGAAGGCAGAGCCTGGACCCTAGCGTGTCCACTGCCCCTCATGTGCTCCAAGCCTGTAGATCCATGGTCTGGATACTGGGAGGGGCAGGGAATTCTATGATTCATGGTGTCTCTGCTCTGCCATACAGCTTTCAGTCTCCTGGTTCACCATTTGG